TCTCGCTCTCTTCCCATCTCTCGTATGTGGTACCTTCCTATGTGTGTGTATAAGGAGGGACCCTTCTTCCTCGTCTGCGGTCCCTCCTCCTCCTCTCAAATGTGTGATTTATGATGGGATGTTGTGTGAGTCCCGGTCAGGTCTAAAGTCTTCTGTTGCGCTATTATGTGCCATTTTGTATGTACCAGGGTGTACATTGCTTGTTGATGCTCAACTGACATTGCATTGTCCATTCAGTCCTTTTTATCACATTGCGGATCCTAGGCTCTACGTACATTGCCCAACTTGGCATGTATCATTAAGTTGATGGAAGTGTGGGCACTCAAGGCTTGAGTAAACAAAAGTGGGAACCCTTGCCCTATATCGTTTTCTCTTGGTATCTATCTGACCACACACACTCGCACGAGAGTACTTGCACTCATGCAGACTTACAAAGGCGATTGCAACGAGCCTCTTAGTTCAACATCATTGAGGCCAGTATAAGCTCAACAGGAAAAAGTCCTCCTTTGGAAAGACTTTTGTGACTTATCTGGGACATGTGATCTCTGGGGAAGGCGAGCCTCTTAGTTCAACATCATTGAGGCCCAGTATAAGCTCAACAGGGAAAAGTCCTCCTTTGGAATGACTTTTGTGACTTATCTGGGACATGCGATCTCTGGGGAAGGGCTAGCTCCTGAAGCAACCAAGGTTGCTGCGATTCAGGACTGGCCATAGCCTACCACAGTGCGTGATGTCCGTTCATTCTTGGGCCTTGCATCATATTACCAAAAGTTCGTTAAGAACTTTTCTGCTATTGCTGCACCCCTGACTAATCTCACAAACAAAGACACCACCTTTCTTTGGACATCAGACTGTCTGCAGGCTTTACACGCCTCAAGGAAGCCTTAATGCACCTATTATGAATTACCTGACCCTACCCTGCCCTTCTTACTAACTTTTGATGCTAGCTAGCATGGGGTTGGGGCAGTACTTCAGCGTGATGGCGGGCATGGTCTGCAACCAGTTGAGCATATGAGTAAGAAGATTGAAGTAAAAAAGTTGTACGATTCTACGTTTGGGAAAGAGTTGTACGACAAGCTGTAGGATTCTACGTTTGAGAAAGAGTTGTATGCTCTAGTGTCAATGGTAAAGCATTGGAAGCATTTCCTCATGGGCAGACACTTTCATATCTATGCAGATCATTCCACCTTACAGTGGATGAAGACCCAAGGAGAACTGAATGGCAAGCTTATGTGCTATATTCAGTTCATTGATCTGTTTGACTTTGAACTGAAACACAAGAAGGGCTGCTACAATCGTGTAGCAAACGCCCTTTCTCGTAGGCCTGACGCTCCCTGCCTGATCTCCTCTACTCATACTTTTGGGGAGAGCACCCGTCAGACCATTGCCTAGTTATTGCCGCATGACTCAATTTTTTGCCCGATTGTCAGGAATTTGCAGACTGATCCTGCCTCTAAACCAAGATACATTCTAGTTTCAGATCTACTGTACACTTGCAGCAGAGGAGAGGAACGTCTGTGCATCCCTCAGGACCGCCAAGCGATAACACTCGTTATATCTGAGTGTCATGATGCTCGCGGCCACTTTGGGGCCTTAAAATCGTTGGCGGCCCTGTCGCAGTGGTTCTTCTGGCCAGAGTTGAGGAAAGACCTGTTGCACTATAATGAGACCTGTGAGTTGTGCCAAAGGAACAAGGTTCTTTGCCGACCTCCCCTTGGCCTGCTGCAACCACTCCCCATCCCTGATGCATCAACACAATCAGTGGCTATTGATTTCACTGACCTGGGGAGGACCACTCCTCGTGGTATGCGTCAGGTCATGGTGTGTGTGGACAGGTTCTCCAAGTACGCGGAGTTTATTCCTTTGCCAGAGGAAGCCAAAGTCTTGGCCGTGCAGGCGGCCTTTGCAGATAGGTGGGTCACTCGTCATGGACCACCCACCTCCATTGTCAGCGATAGAGATCCGCGTTTCTGCAGCAATGAGTGGTAGTCCTATTGCAAGGACTACCTCCATTCCAAACTGGATATGACATGTGGTCGTCATCTTGAAGCCAATAGGCAGGCTGAAGTGATGAACCAAATTCTTTTCCAGTTGCTGCGTCCTGTGATCAGCCCTGATCGGCAGTATTGGGATCTCCATCTAGGACGGGCACAGCTAGTGTACAACACATCTGTACACTCCTCCACAAGGTTCACCCCTTATCGGTTGCACTGGGGACGTGAGCCACGGCAGCCTCTCGATGACATCATCAATAAGGCTATCCCCAAATTGGCTCCTGGGACTGCAACGTTCACCAGACAGTACGAGAGGGATATCGAACGAGCCAGAGTTAACCTGTTGAAAGCCCAAAAGGCTATGATCCAGCAGGCTAACAAGCATCGTCGACCATCCCCCATCCGCGCTACTGACAAGGACTGGGTCTGGCTAATAGCTATCGCGGGAGGAGGGCATTTCGCCCAAACTGTTGCCGAGTTACATGGGTCCATGGCAGGTTTTGGATACAGTGGGAGCTGACCCTTTTGAGTCATCTTATCACGTAGATGACCCACTGCATCTACAAGCCTACCCTGTCTTTCATACATCCAAGCTGTTGCCGTTTGTCCCAGCTGATACATTTCCAGACATGCCTCCTCAATTTGGTCCCCTGATCCCTGGGAAGGAATATGAGGTGGAAAAAGTTGATGATGAGTATGGTACAGGCCCTGATAAGGAGTACCTTGTGAAATTTCTTTACCAGCCTCACACTGAGGATCACTGGTTTACTCGCAAGGAGCTGCTGAAAACAGCAAAGTCTGTTATCCTCAAATATGAGGCTGCGCAAAGGGGAGAACCCCTTCGACGTTCTGCACGCCTACGCCCCTAGCTCGAAAGTCCTCGCTCCGAGGGAGGGTAGGTCTACAATGACTTGCTGGTTCCAAGTTGCATGTAGCCTCTCTCACACGAGGCTGTACCATGGCAGGGACAAATTCATAATTTTGTTTGGCTGAGGGCTATTTCCTACAGTTACCCTAACTGTGAATAGCAGACCCGGGCTACCCCTAGGACAGACAGGCCCAATGAGCCTACGCTGAAAGACGGTCCTATAGCCTATTGCCGAGTAGGGAGAGGCCCTAGCGGCCCAAACAAAAACGGTACCGGTCGGTCAGTCAGTCCGGTCTAGGCCGTGTCTAGGCTAGTTTAGGGTATAGATAGGATGGGGACATCGGTCCTGGGCTTTTGGCAGTTGACACTTTGTGGGGGAAGTTGCTGCGCACACGGTATCAGGTCGCGGTTGCTGATTCCAATGGTGGAGACGGCGGACATAGCCAGTCCTACGAGCGCTGACCAGACTGGGGTCAACGTTGTCCGCTCTGACTCTTTGGGAGTCAAAGCGGTCTGGGCTATCAGAGGTCTGATGCGTTGGAGCACGTGGGGCACTGCTGACCCTCCTCAGGAGTAGGGTCCCAGTGGCAATGCAGCCATAGCTGCATCTTCTCAGAGGATATCATAGTCTGGACTTCATGTTCATCAGGGACTGTTGGCGCTGCATTATCTGGGTGGCGATTGGCTCTGGGAGCCTGTTTCATCTTGGCGCGGGCCTCTGAGTTCGATGTCAAGGTGGCGCTGGGTGTTACCTGGGATTCTGGTGCTATTTTTTAGCTGCTCGGTGTGTGTGGGGTTGAGGCGCTACCCCTCTGAGGGTAGCGCAACAGGGATCTAAGGTTATTCAGAAAAAACAATGCTCCGAGTTTAATAAACAGTTGTAATACTGTGTTTGAGTTGTCATCTCTTCATTGATTTCTGGCTGTGATCACTCGGTTGTCTTCTATGAATGATTGTTCTGTGTGGAGAGAATCCACAGGTTTGTGTGCTCTGTCACTTCGCTCCTCTGAGTCTTCCGCTGCGTTCTTTCTGTTGGGCGGTGTGACACTCCACTACCTCTCCCCTTCCTTCTGTGCATGTATGGGCGTGTACGGGAGTTCCTGTGAATGAGCGTTGATAAAATTTCAACGGACAATCATGTTCATAACACTGGCCTCAGAAACGGCCCAGCTCGTCTGAGCACTTGCACCATTAGAATAAACAAACAAAGCGGTCTCCTGTACATCATCCATTCCCTCACCACAAGGACAGACAAACGAACAAAGGGCTTCCCTGTACATCAATTCGCTCATCATAAGTGCATATCACACACATGCAGAAAGATGGTGATACCTGGGCTTGGGCGACGGGTGACCACCTCCCCTCTCTAGCCCCTAACAGTCATGGCTCACTGAAATGCGGATCTGGTTCACCATTATCTGGTGTTGTTCTTATTGATATGGATACAGGTCAATTTCAGACATTCAGGTCAGTAACCATCACCTCTGGTTTCCTGTTCTTTCTTGAACATACGCCTGTTTACTACCTTCTTAACCCGAAAAAAATGTATGTACCTTGTATACGAATACAACGTACGGGGTACGTTGTATTCGAATACAACGTACGTACGTTATAGAATGAGTTTTAGGGTACAATTTTTCAGAAGCCTGTAGTACCGCAATTGTTTTTATTTTTATCTCAATCGAAATTCTGAAAAAAATCAGTAAAAATTTCAAAAACATTTTCAAATTTTCATCCTCGTTTTTATCTTTTTCTCGAATTTTCTCGATAATTTCGATAAGACCCTCAGGCAAACGTTGTTTGTATTGCATTGTTGTATAACATTTTATTTTTTTTAATCAAAGTTCCAAAAATTTGAATACAACATACGTACGTTGTATTCGAATACAAATACAACGTCGAATACAAATACAACGTACATACGTTATATTCGAACCAATGTACGTTCTATTCGGGGAAAAACAAGCGATTTCTGAAAACCCGATTTCCAGAGGTAATTCGAATAGAACGTACATACGTTTTTTTCGGGTTAAGAAGGTAGTATGCAAGGTGAAGGAACAGACAGAGATCATACGCAAACAAGCATTCACATGCTGAGCAGCCACCTGTGGCGCCACGCATAAACAGCTCAGAAATTCGAATTCATCTTACAAATTTGTGGGCAAATATCCCACGAACCGGCATTTTAGCAAAAAAAGTGATGCAGACACTCTTGCCACTGTTGTTCTTTCATCTGGCAACAAGCTGCTCTGAGGAGATCAGGAGTTCTCTCATCATTCTTATGCCTCTCCTCTTTTTCTCCTACATTTCTCTCCATCCTACATTTCCTATTCTCTTCTCATCCTAAATTTTTCTCCGCTCTTCTCCTCACGGACTCGCCTGGCATTAAAAGGACCAGCCTGATTGGTAAGGACAAAATGCAGAAAAAGAAATTTGGCGACATCTCTGTTTTCAACCCAACTCTTCTGGAATTGCCGAATCATGTGCAGCCAATATCATCACTTGCATTCACAGCAACCATTTGGAGCACATGACCATCCATCCTGGCCACACCCTCAAAAAAAGGAAGACTGCAAAACTCTTCTCTGCAGTCCCACCATTCCCCTCCGTACTGGTAATACAAATATTCCACATCAGAGAGTAAAAGCAGACGGAATATGTATGTAGGCTTTGGACGCCATACATCCCTCCAACAGGGATTACTGCACGTTGATGCTGTCGATCAAAGCATTCAACAAGGACACTCTTATGAAATGGATGCATGGCATACAATGGGGTGCCCCACTGCCAAAGAACCACCCATTTCATTACCACTCTTTTCACCATACGCGCATCCATAAGGGGTTCCGCACCACCGACAACCCATGATATATCTCCATCATCTGTGGTATTGGCCAGCATTACTCCAAAGCTGTAACATGAGAACACGCTTGGGGAACGCATCCATAAGGGTTTGCACCACCAACAACCCACAATATATCTCCATCATCTGTGGTATTGGGCAGCATTGCTCCAAAGCTGTAACATGAGAACACGCTTGGCAATTTCCCCTGCTCCTTCGAAGTGATGTAGTAACTGCTTGTTCCACTACTTGATATGGCACATAGAAGACAGTGCCCAGACATTTTGAAGTCAAACGGCATTAAATCATTTCCACAGCTTGCCAATCAACTTCTGATAGGAGAGAATCTATGTGGCCCTGGGGGTGACTGAGTCAGGAGGTGGTTGTGACAGAGTCACTGATCTCAACAGCATTAATGTCAGAATCATGCCAATGAAGTGCGAAAGAACAGTATTTGTGGAAGCCTGCACACATAATGCAACGAACCACGAAGTCACACCACAAAAATTAGCAAAGCACTAGCATTATTTAGTAGCGTACACACTTAAGACAGAATCAGGCATATTGGAAAGAAGAGGCATGCACACTTCAACCTGTCTCTTCCTCCCCGTCCCCTTTCTTTGTATGTCTCTACGAGATGCATCAACAAATTTCAAGAAACGGCAAGAAAACAGCAGCTGGGCACTAGTTCCATGATTGGATCAGCCCATCCAAATTCAGTGCTTTTGTTCATCTTTCAAATAGACTAGACAGTTACCTACCCAATGATAAAGTAAAATACTCAACCATGTTCAACACAACCCCTCACACCCTGGCTCTAAAAGATTTCTCCCTCTCTCCTTCACGCTTCCTCAAATTCCCAACCTCCTTGGAATGTGCTCCCCT